ATATATATTATTGGTTTGATTTATTTATTTTTAATCAATAAGATCTGTGTGTACATTTTTTCCTAAAACATTTATTAATAATTTAATCAAATCAAAGATTTGTGTAAGGGAACATAATACTCCTCCGGTTTTTAATATAAGACCTAGTTGTTGAGTTGATTTTGGTCCTAAATATAAAATCTATTTATTATATTTTATCAGTGTTTTCTAAATTAGTCCTATGGATATTTCCTCAGTCATAATCAAGTAGAAGAGGGAGAAATGATATTAAGAAAGATAATTATATTATTTTAGAAAAAAAGTTTTATTTTTATAATTAATTAATTTTTCTTTCTTAATTTAATCAAATTAGTTAAATATGTTTTATATTAATAACGAGAGGAGTAGTAAATTATTGATGGTTGTAGGAATTGTGAAGTACAAAAAGTTGGAACGGTTGCTTCAATATTATATGAAGCCGGACCATTGAGTGTTGTGAAAGCCAGAATAGTGAGTTATGAGCATGCCTACCACTTTTGGTGAGTGCAGTGATTGTATTTGAGTATATCCTTTTTTGTTAATGCCCCCCTCCTTTCTAAACATCCCATATTATGAATTCCAAATTATTGAAAATGTACTGATTAAACATATGGAGGAAGATGAAAATTTTTCATTCTATATAAAAAAAAATAGATGCTCATAAAAATTGGTTGGATTGTTATAAACATGACTTGTGTCAATGACTCTATAAGTAAGAGGTGATGGATTCAATATCAACTTTAGCATGTTAGTGCTTACTCTATTACTTTGAAAAAAATGGCTTGTGTTTTACGAAAATGCATGTTATGAGGAAAGGAGTCTCCCATGTGATTAAAACTTATCTAGGAAGCTTAATGTGTGTTTAAAGATGATCGGCTAATGAAAAATTAAGAGTTTTGAACATTAGAAGAAAAACGAGAAAATTTTTGTAGTATGGTAGAGTTTGCAATGATACTTCATTTCTTGTCATAAAACACAATTACATTATAAAATAAAAAATAAAATGTTTAAAACATAAGTTTAATAGGAGAATTCGAGAAAAAAAATCAAGGAAATATCATGGAAAAGCACAAAAAGCAACATGGTAAGAAAAAAAAAATCTAAATTTGAGCAAATCTCAAAAGCAAAACTACTTTTGCTCTTAGTTCAAAATATAAGTATCAAATCTTTTAAAAAGTTTATTTTTCTATAAGCATCAATTTGAATTTATCTGATCATTTAATATATATTTTTTATTTTTATTCCTAATTAATTATGTGTCTCTCTCGTTGCTTTTTTTGCTCATTCTCTCTCATCTATTTTCCATCCATTCTCTCTCCTTTACCCTCCACATAAACAAGGGTGTTAAGTAGCACTTGTTATATATTTATTTTTAACTAATTTTTTGAATTGCATGATTTAATTATTTGATACTTATATTTTAATGCGAAGAAAGTATTTTGCAATGCAATCAAGAGTCTTTTTAAATGAAACAACTTGGAGCCATCACAAATAGTGCATGCTGGTAATTATAGGAAGAAGAAAGTATCTCCGGTCCTAATTTTAAGATCTAATTTGTAGATTACAAACGAGATCTTATTTTTAGGAACAGAGATAGTATAAGAGATGAAGTCTGTGAGAAAACATATGTGAATAAAAGATGTCATGCAGTGAAGGAAAAGCAAAACCCTCCTGAGCATAGAGAAAACAAATAACCATTTGTTAAAATCCGTGAAAGCAAACATTTGAAAATTCCTGAACAGGATCCATAAAAATATATAGCCATTTTAAACCTCTTCTTTCTCCAATGACCTTCTTGTATAGTATTTGTCAGAAAATGAAATTAGAGGGAGACATATTGTATTGAGATTCCAAGTGATCTACCAGGCACTCACATAAAAAGGCTGACTATTAAAATATGTTATACTTCTTTATTGCTCGCAGATATAATTTTTAATAAAAATAATCCTGTTTAAAGCACGATGGCCACTAAATATATAGACATCTATACTACCAGAAATTTGAAAATTGGTTGTGCACTTTATAAGAGAACGAAGAGAATGTTTCCCTTAATATCACTCTACTCCTAAAAGATACTACTATCTTATTCTTAATATAAAAACTAGATAATTAATTTACAGATATTAAAAAACTTAATTTAATTAATTATTTGTAATGAATTTATCAAAAAAGAAAGTTATCTATAACAAACATGTCTTCTTTTCCTTAAAATAACCTCGCTGATCATGTGTAATGTATTTTTTTGACTAGAAAAGCTAATATCATTAAGGAAGATCAAATTAGTTCAATACACAATTATGTTTATTGACCTAACTTTTTATTAAACATTTAACATGTATAACTATTATAGGACTACTTTGAAAAATATAAATAAATATAGAAGACAAAATAGATTGAGATTTTTTTTGGGGTGAACAAATGGATTGAGATTTTATATTCAGGACAAAATTGAATATATAACTAACTCTTATACTACCTTCAGTCTTTAATATAAGATCTAGAAGAGAATTTGATTTAGTCCAAAATAAAATATTTCAATTCATTTTGTCTCTCAAATTTATAATTCATTCTCTAGAGCATCTCTGTTGATTATACATACTAAGGAGATTTTTATCCAATGATAGTCATGATTAAAAAGAGTATTTTAAAAAAATAACTTGTATTTATTATATATAACTAATTTAATTAATTCTCTTAATCACTTTAAATTATTTAGATAGTCTTTATATTAAGAACTAGAGGTAGTATTATTTAGCTAAGCGTAGCCTTCACATGACGTCCCATATCTCCTGTGGTTAAAAAGGGTTGTGTTGTATATCTCTTGTTAACATGGGTGCTGGTGTGTGGATGCCTCCTGCATAGGAGGGGTGTTAAAATTATTTAAATAAAAACTATTTATTGGAAAAATGTGAATTTAATTAGGAATAATTTCATTAAAAAAAATGCTTGAAATAACTAAACCTCAAATCAAATTGCCAGCCAAAAAAAAAAAATATCAAAACAGGTTTATTTCTCACACTTTTCATAGGTTTTGACAATACTTAACTTGCAAATAACATAAACTTTTTATAGGAATTCCTCATTGAAGATTTAGTAATTTTAAGTTTCATTTTGTGAAACTTTCCTATCACTAATATAAGACCTAATATGAAGAAGTAATTTCTATACTCCTCCTATCACTAATATAAGAAATAATTAATTAATTTGAATAGATTAAGGAAGTTAGTTAAATTAATTAATATGATTTTTTTTTAAAACACTCTAAGCATTTTTCTTAATTCCTTCTTTCCCTCTCCTACTTCATCATTGCTGAGGAAATATTAATAGAATTAATTTTAAAAAAATTAATAAACATTCAAAATAAATCTTATACGTAGGATCAACATTAACTTCTCTGTTAAGTTTTGTATTAAGCATGGGAGGACTATTTCGCCTGTGACCGTGGGAGCTGGGACTACCAAATAGCTCGCGTGTCTAATGCTGTTAGCAAATTGACATACGTGTAAAAGTCCAGCCAATCATGCAACTTTTTTCGCAGAGATACATTTTCACAAGGTTTATGCACCAGACCTCGCCTTTCATGCATGAAATTTGCGCAAAGATCCCAAGAAACATAAGATGCTATGATCAATGTACAGGCTACTATGTTTATGTAAACAAAATCTTAAATGTTTTCTACCCAGCCGTTTTCTCCTCTCAATTAAATTGTCTGCAAGCTATCCTGATCAAGATACAAACATTCAGCTCAGCTTGCAGTGACTGTTACATGGTGCCAAATAATCACGGAGTTCCTGTTTGCTTGATACAGTTGGACGAACATTATTTCAGGCATTTATCTCCCAACAACGTTTTCTACTTGTACATTCTATTGATATGGATTAACATTATTTACTCCTCCAGTCCTTAATATAGAACCCAATTGTTGAGTTGGTTTTGATTCTAAATATAAGACTCATTTCTTATAATTATCATTTTTCTCTAAATTACTCCTATAAATACTCCTTCAACCATAATCAACTAGAAGAGGAAGAAGAGGTATTAAGAAAGATGATTATGATGTTTTAGGAAAAACGTGTCACATTTCTTATAATTAACTAATTTACCTAACTTCCTTAATCTAATCAAATTAATTAAATGGGTTTTATATTAAGGACCGGAGGAGTATTATATTAAGCATTTTTCTCTTAATAACATTTTTTATTCTTTTATTAATGCTATTTTATTGATGTTTACGCTCTTTATTTATACCCTACATACTCTTCACAACATTTTCTGTTTAATGTTCACAAACACATCTAAGTAATACTTTCCACCTTCTTTATTAAATTTTTATAACAACTGCGTGTTTACAAGATAGCATTTTATCGCAATGTGTCAATCACTATCGGTTCTGTGTAACGCATGGGAGTCTAGTTTTTGCTTCAAAAATCTGTGAGCTAAAGGCATCAGAGTTAAAACAGAGTCAATCATCGACATCATGGTCTATTTTTAAGGACTTAGGAACAAGCATTCAGAAATTCGAACACACGTACGATCACTTCAAAAAATGCTTTTCCCCAAACAAGTACGCCAAGCTTTCAATCCTTGCCAAACTTTCCATGCCTCAATTTCCCATGGCCCATGTGACCGCAGTAACCATAGTAGCTGTGGCCGTGGCTGAGGTGAGGAGCCCTTGCCGTGATGATAGAAACAAAATTAGTCAACCAGATAAATGAACATCATACAGACAACAGAAAACCTCCCCACAACAAGGAGTACTCAGAAAGATGCAATGTGATTTATCAAATTGATTCACATAAGTAAGTTTTTATAGGCGTACTCACAAGGATGCAATATAAATCGCAATCTGATTCATTATGCATAAAAAAATAATGAATACTATCGTTCATAAGCTACTGCAATCCAATCCGCTTGCTGACTTGACAAGATGAGCAATTCCCATAAAAAGCACTATAGAATACATCTGTAGAAAGGGCTCACCTGTCCATAACTATAAACTTAGTCATCAAGGTAATAATACGAGCCAGCTGCTTTCTGTTCCCTGTCTCCGATTGAATCTAGTTTGTTAATCCTTGGGCAGTAGCTAGTTGGATCTCTTCTAAACGTGATATCCAGGTGCTGCCAGATTATGCAGGAAAAAAGCACATAACTAATTGGGAAGAAAAAATTAAATAAAAAAGAACATCCATTCTACTTCAAGCCAAAGAGAAAGCCAGTTGATAGCACCGCCTGCACTGCCAAATATTACAACAAGGGTCAGTAGGGCACTGTAATGGAATCTTAGTTTTAACCAAACCTTTCTAATTTCCCATTTGTGAAATCTTTTAGGATATGAATACTGCACATGTATTGAGCGATATGCATGCAAATTCTTGAACTTACCCATATCTAGCAGTAATATCAGAAATTATAAAACCAGCTAGCATTATAGGCTTTGCTTTTGAGAAGAACTATATGAAGATTCGTACTTACTGATAAGAATAGGTTCATCCCGGTCAACAATGATTGTGGCGAATTAGCAATACAGTCAACTGAAGGAGACCCCTCACAAACAATAACTCTATCAGCAAGATATGTTGCCATGATAAAATCATGCTCGACCCCAAATGCAGTTTTCTTTGCGTGAAGGATAAACCTCTTTATGACTTTGGAAGCATGAATACGCTGCTCTGAATCAAGATACGCACTAGGCTCATCTATCAAATAGATGTCTGCAGGCTGTAATTAAATAGCAATGGATCAGGGAACAATAATTTTATTCTCATCAAAACTGAAGACAAAGTGATTCATTTTAGAGGCAGAAATAAGCTCAGCAAAGTTTTGTAAAATAGTTCCATCAGTTCATAAATTAGCTTCACATTCACGTTCATGACATGCGTAGCACAAGAAAAACCAACATTTTGCATAACCTTCATCGGAAAAAAAGGCAGTTGAGAATGTGAAGGGAAAAAAGGGCAGGAGACATTGATTAAAAAGCATAAACAAAGCAAGAAACTTCCCATGGATGAAGCTAAAATATCTACCTTTCCAAGACATAGACATAATGCAACTCTTTGCAACTCCCCCCAAGAAAGATTCACAGCTTCTCGATCCATTAACTGTTCAATAAGAAGTGGCTTCATCACATTGGAGATAAACTGCGGGTGTGTGCATGCATCATGTATTCTTGTGTGGCGCAAGTGTCTGACTGTTGATTCAAACTTCAAGTGGCGAATGTTCTGAGGCTTGTATGACACGCTAAACTGAGGACTAGAGCCACCTTCTATGGTGTCAGGTTCCAATAAACCAGCCTACAAAATATAAAGCACGGGAAGACCAGACGTAACACAAATCATAAACACTTGACGCTGAAGAAACATTTTTTTCACCCGCGGGGTTTCAAAGTTCAAAAGGAACTAATATGAGAGAATAAAGCAATACCAGCATACGAATAAACGTCGTCTTTCCTGTCCCATTCTCACCTAGCACCACCATAATCTGAGAATCAGTGAATTCCCCTCCGACTGCACGAAGCCTAAATTTTCCTCGAGTAGAGGTCATTGTTGGATATTTGGATGGAGCGTATGTCTGAGCATCATTGTCACTCTCTTGCGGAGCCTCAACAACCTATACAGATCACAAAAGCAATGAAAATTATTCAAAGTACAAACATAGAAGGAGTGATGCATAATGAAATGTTGACATTTACCTTGAAGTTGAGAGAATCATCCCGGAACCTCAGGTTTTGAGTTGGGACAAAACCAGCCAAGAAGATGTTAAGTCCTTCTCTAACTGAGAAAGGAAGTGTTACAACCCCATATGCACCTGATTTGCCATATAAACAGCAAATAAAGTCTGACACATAGTCCAAGACGCTAAGATCATGGTCCACAACAATTACATAGCTGGAACAAGGCAGAGTGCAGAAAAATCAACATCAAATCCAAATAGTCCACATTTTTATATAGACAATGCTTAAAGGAGGAACAAGTGAGACAAGAAAACAAGACCTGTTAGGCCTGAGCAAAGATCGAATAACTTGGGCAGCTTTTAGCCTCTGTTTTATGTCAAGGTAAGTAGAAGGCTCATCAAACAAGTAAATTTCAGCATTCCGGCTGGCAACATGGGCAATGGCAAACCTTTGAAGCTCCCCATCTGAAAGATCAGCAATCTTACGATCTATAACCTGGTTTAGGTCAAGATCATCACAAAGTTCTTGCTTCATATCTCTCTCATTTCTACGGTCCAAGGCCTCCCGCACATTACATGATAGAGCTTTAATGTAACCAACACGTTGAGGCTTTACAATGGCCTATTAAGCGTGTGCTCCCACAAATGTACAAAACAATCAGTAATCGATAAGAATCTAGGGAAGCAATGCTATATCTAATAAATAGATAAATATAGCATATACGTGATGAATGCAAAATCAGAAACATAAGCGAACATCCATTACAAGATTCAACACCTGAAGATAGGAAAGGAAACCTCAGAAAGGTCATTTAAAATTGTACAATACGTCAGAACCGGCAATTTACTTTCAGATGCATGCTTGTGCTAGATTCCCAAAGCACCTAAAATTTCCTAAGGATTACGGATGCCCCTAAACACTTTTATTTTCAGAAGGCAGACAAAGCACAAAAGGCTTCCACCTATTTATTCATGGGAAAATCCCAAAAAAAATACCTCTAAAATTTCAAATTCTCAAATCAGGAATGACTACAAAAATGTGTTGTTATTTACTTTTTAAATGTTATCAATTGTTATCCCACAAATGTACAAAAATGTGAATGGCTGGCATCTTTGCAGAAATATACCACCTTTTGAATTAAAAGAGCAAAATAATCCTTCTAATATCATTCAATAGATTCCGAAGCAGTAATAGAATCTGACTCCTAGATAATAATGAACATTTGATTCTTTAAGATTTCTAGCTCAACAGATTACTCGACACAGACAACTGAAGTTTTGTATTTTTATGTCTAATATCTTAGTTCAAACGACCAGCTCTTTTCTCTTGGCATTTAAACAGATTAGTTGACACAGACAACTGAGGTTTTGTATTTTTATGTCTAATATCTTAGTTCATATAACCAACCTTTTACACTTCCATTTAAACAGATTAGTCGACACAGACAACAGATTAGTCGACACTTTATAATGTCTCATTCGTAATGTAGCTCTCATGGGCCTTTATCCTTGAAACCTCTTCTGCAGTCTGGAAATGCATGAGAGCTTCTTGACAACGTCCTTTTACATTATTGGATCTGGATTCTCAGTGACCGTTTTTTTTTTTTTTTCCCAAAGGACATGTTCAAATTTTAACTCATCTTTTTCTGTTTTTGTTTCCTTTTGTCCTTGGAGGTTACATTCAAAACCAAAGTTTTTCACCCGAATATCAACAGCAATGGCAGTATTTTTCTTGATATCTTAAGGGAGGAGTGGAGCCCTGCTTTGACTATATCTAAGGTTCTGACACCATGCTTTTTAAGATAAATTGATTGGTGCTTGCGACTTATGCTGGGAAAATTTTATCCACTATACACATGATTCTTAAATGACACGGCAATATTTTGGTAATGACCTAGGAGTCATCTCCGTTTGCATCTGGGGTGAGTTAATGTTATACTTTGACTTCTGGCCATCTAATTAACGGTTCATGATTTCCTTTTATTTTATTTTTTTGGGTGCAAAACAGTTCATGACTTCCTATTACACTATGATTGTTGGGTGCCACAATTTTGCGGTGCTAATGTGATCCTTGCTATATTGCCAATGTTTAGATTCAAAAGGAACATATGTGAGCCATGTGAGCAAGTGACTTGAGGCTAGCCAAGATAGTGGGATGTGAATAAAGGTCAAAGGTTCAAACCCCCTAATATATATATATATATATATATATATATATTGAAAGAAAAAGGGACATGCCTGTTAGGGATTATTCTTTTCTCCCTGTCAAGGTATAGTTGTGAAGCATATAAATTATGATGCATGGCCACGATCCTCATCTGTCTTGAAGTATTACTTTTTTTTAATTGGGTGGGAAGGGTTTGTGTTTCACTTTTCAGGTCTTGCTCTCGATCTGCTCTCTCTTGACGGATCCAAACCCAGATGATCCACTGGTGCCAGAAGTTGCTCATATTTACAAGACAGACAGGGCCGAGTATGAGACCACTGCCATTAGCTGGACTCAGAAGTATGCAAGGGGCTAACATTGGAAGGCGTCAGAGGACTTTTTCCTTCCATTTATTGTTAAAAAGTATAACAGTTGTATAATCTAACTATCTGTATTCTGCTTTCTGCTTTCGACAATTTGAAGATAGGCTCTTATATTTTGCCTCATCTGTGAAGACTCACAAGGTTTGCATTTCGCAAACATTTGAAATCATTATTGCCAACCGTGTATGACTAGTCTAAGCGTAAAAATTGCAGACAAGATACTAGTGATTACTGAATATAAATGTAAACATTGTATGTATTAGATATTATAAGAGTTAGGATGCAATTTTAACAACAAAGTTTGTCCTAGAAAATAGTGGGCATCATAAAATTTATTTAGATATAAGAATATAAATAAAGTTGTCAAAAAGGGACATCTGGTGTCATGCTAATAATATCCGTTAAATGTTTGTTAGTTTACTACTCGTAGGGTTTACAAAATCAATTTTAAGGTGTAATTTTAATAATGAAGTTTACATTAAGGGACAATGGGTTAATTTTATTCTTTTGGGTCTTAACAAATGTCACATTTTCTTTTCATTCATTCCTACTTTTAAATCCATTCATTTTTCTCTCATCATGATGAACACACACCCTCTCTTTCTTTCTAGTATAGGAGATTCATTACTTGCATCTAAGTACTATCTCTGGTTCTTAATATAAAACAGAGTTAACTAATTTGAAGAAATCAAATAAATGACTTGAAAGTATTATATTTATCATTTTTTTTCAAATTAATTTTTTTGGTTTATAAACTAATACACAATTTAATAATATATATAACTATTTTAAAGAAAGCATAAAATATATGTTATAATTAAGCAATTATTTTACTTCTTTAATTTTTTTCAAAGTAATCCATTATACTAAGGACAGGAGGAAGTGAGAGTGAGTAGAGAGAAAACGTAACAATTGGTGAAACCTAAAATAATAAAGTTAACTGACATTTATGAGAGTTGATAAATTGCTATTTTTTTTCTTTTTAGAAAGTTCATGTATATTTTTGCAATTAAATAAATTTTATAGTACCTAGTGCTCTTTATAAACTTTGTTGTTAAAAATATACTTTAAAACTAACTTTGTAGGTCCTATTAACAAAAGTTAATGGCATGGTGCCAAATACTCCTTTTGGATAGCTTTATGTATATTTTTGTATCTATGTAAACTTTATGGTGTCAATACCTCTTAAGATAAACTTTGTTTTTAAAATTGTACCTTAAGCCATATTATAATGTTCTACTTTTAATATGCTTACTATTAGTTATTGCAAATCATGATTGTCAAATATATCATTAATAATTTTTCTTGCAGTTGAAGTGTTATCGGTTGTATTTTTAAGCATGACATAAGACCTGGGTCATTAGCTTAATATTTTAACGATCTTATAATTATTGGCTGATTAAAAATTTCGGGGCATATTGTAGGCTTTGTTTGAAATGTTTTATAAGCAATTTTTCAATAATAAAATATGCTTATAAGTGATTGATTTCAAGTGAGGCCAAATTTCAGGTTTTATGTTCTTCCTCAATCATTAGCGACTCAGTGCAGTCCAAATTCGGAGACAAGACAATTATTGTCCAATTTCTATCTCCATTTTCACACCTTATTTTTATCAATAACTAGGGTCTACTGCCCGAGCATTGCACGAGGAGCTTATAAACAAAGAGTTATAATATTTTTATTAAAATAAAGAAAATCATTATCACATAATTGTAGTTAAAATCTTTTAAAATTAGTCCAAACTTAAAAAACAAACATGGCAGATGGATTTTTTTATTGTTTTAAATTACGTTATATTACATCTATGAAAGAATGTAAGGGTCTCTAAAAACATAATTATCTAGTGTAAACTTCCATTAAATCATCAAGCATAAGTTTGTTTAAGATTGCCCTCCATTAATCTTTAAGTCAAATATTTGCATGCCTTTTCTCCACAAAAAGAAAATATTAGCACACCTTCTTTATTAGTTCTAGCTTGTATTCAAGGATTCTGGTGCTTTCTGTAATGATATGGAAATGGACGGAAGCTTGCAAATACTGGGGCAAAAAGTTTAGGCCATAAGTAAGGGAAGGAATCAAGAATTGAAAGATAATTGTACCAAAGAAATAGACTTGGAGGATGATGGCTATATAAAGGGAAGTTATGAACTGAGTAGGCTATCGATGAATCTTGCTATGACTCTCCTCTTTCTATGTAAATTTTCTTCTCTCTTTGAATAGCTTCTTCCCTTCTCTCTAAATTCTTCTTCATCGCTGTAATTTTCCTCCACAGCAGCCTTTGACCGAACAGTGATTATTACATATATATACATTCAGTAGATTTTCTTCCTATTTTCCCTTATTTGTCATTTACAATTGAGCATCCTTCATTGCCATTTATGTTTGAGAAGTTGATAAATTATAACTGTCTACTTGTCATTTTCTGCTTCTTAATTATGGAATAATAACATATAATAAACACACATTAAGCAAATGGGCAATACAAAGATATTTGAATTAACACTCCACAAAGAGGCATTAAGCAACAAAGCACTTAAGATGTCTTCATTATTAATCTAAACCCCAGTTCACAAAAGCCATAAATTGATACATTTTTTCTTTTTTCCCTAAAAAAAAAAAACAACTCATAAAGCTTAACAATGAAACCCGACTGGGAGAGAATCTTTGTAACACCCTCTATACCTAATAAAACATTTCTTAGAAATTTGACTTCAAGTTGGTAGAAAGAACTGAACCACACTCTTGTTTACTATGGTAGAAAAATGACGGAACAATCAAAGATCTACCAAGACTTGAAGAGGAAGAAAAAAGTACCAGAAAGATGGGGAACAGATTTTAATTCTTTTGGTTTCAATTTCTATTGCCATATGAGGCATTCCCTACCAATTCAAATTACGTGGCTCAACTAAAAACAAACAAAACATCGATCAGTACTGCCTCCTTATAACCTCCACTTACTTTTTGGTACTGCAATCCTTTCATACAAGCATTAAAATAAGCTCTACTTGCACCAGAAAGTTTTGATAGGTTGGCAAAATTACAGCCGACAATCTAATCAAACCTACGGCACAGCCAAAGGAAGCAAATAAGACAAGATCCAACGGTTAAGGACATCTCATAACTATTTTAAGTACGAAAATAAGACATCTTTGTCTGCATAGTGCAAATTAAGAGTAATACTACCTCCGATCCTAATTATAAGAGCTAGTTGACTAATTTGAGAAGATTAAGGAAAGAAGTTAAGTTAGTTATTTGTAATAAATATATGTTGTCTTTCCTAAAATATCCTTACTAATTAAGTGTGTTAACTATAACTACCATTATTAGGAAGACTATCTTGAAAAAATATATAAATATGAGAGACAAAGTGGATTGGGGTCTTATATTTATGATCAAAATAAAAGTCAAACAAAGTCTTATATTAAAAACCGGAGGTATTATAATTTTCTATTCGTTATACTGCATAATCAGCTATCTTTCTTCTTTTTCTTCTTCTTTTTTTTGAATTGAGCATAATCAACTATCTTTAGAACTCTCCTGATTATAAGCTTTTCTTGATAATGCAACCAATTTTGGAGAACAAGGACATTATATCTACAAGCAAAATTTCAAGATCATCTATTCGTTAACTTCATAAAAACTTCAAATAAGTGGCTTTTGTGAATGCCTCTGGTAGCATCTATCCTTACATGGTCATCTTTCATCTATCCAAGCTTTTAATGCCCCATAGAGAGAAGGGAACTGCAAAAACTGCAAAAGGAATGAGAATGAAAAAATGCAACCCAACAAAAATAACGTTTGATCGAGGATTGTTTTCTTAGTTCTTAGTTCTTAGTTAATGGCAAGATTAGTGGTTTAGAGTCTCCCGTATTTTGGAATAATAAGTATTAATTTCTGGACTGGCTTAATAGTTGTGTTTATGTTTGGGTATAAATTTTGGGATGTTACAAATTAAAAAATCTAGTTAGTGGACAATTAGTAACTAATAAATATATTCTATAACTGTTATCACAAAAACAGTTGGGCCTTAAGCCTCTGACAGGTCTTTAAAAGTTCAACTTATTTAAACTTCATGCTATCAGAATAAAATAATTTTTAAAAATAGAAAACAAATAAATAGAAATAAATCTTTGCTATTAAATAATAACATCATATTGATACATCGAAGAAATTAGAGTTTATCCCATTCTCGTGATCAAATGAGTAAAAATGATGGATTCTATTCAATATCCTTGAAAATGTGCCTTTCATAGCATTGATTTTTTGTCAAAATCTTTTTAAAAAGAATGAAATCATTGATGAAAAACAATGGAATAATATTTTCTTTAAAGTACCTTTCTTCTGGAATAATTATTTCTTTTTTTGGTGAAAAGATTTAAAATAGAATTATCCCCCATTATTCATGTGTAGCTTTAGATGTTGGATTCTTTTGGCAAAAAAATCTTCTTCCATCAATTAATATCGCAAACACATGATAAATATTACTCTTAATTCTAACGTTATTGACATCATGTCCCAAAAATGCCCAATATGATATTAGATCATTAAAAAAAAAAGCCATTTTGCAGTTATCTATGCTTCAATTTCTAATTTGATATCTATGTGTTTTTACTTGATTAAATACTTTAACTTTACTGCGCTAGAATTGCAAGCTCCGGACCTCCGGTCAAGAAGCCAAAAGAGCACATGCCTGCTAATAAAATAAAGTGACAAGGACTAACGGCACTATAAAGGGTGTTTGGGAAACCCAAAACCATGGTTTCAGAAGCACTTTTCCGCAAAACGAGGTAATCTCTTCCACATATTTACTTCGTAATCCGTAAAAACACTTCTGAAACCATGGTTTGATTTCTATCCAAACACCCCCTATTTCGTAGTGGAGTTAAGTCAAAAGATTTAATCAAGAAAAATATGTATAAATACAAAATTAAAATTTGAAAGAAATTCTAGGTAGTGCAAAATGATTTTTCCTTAAATTATATGAATTTATAAATTAGATCAATTAATTTAAAAAATTGAGGAATATAAAAAATAAAATGAATTAAAATTTTACATTTAAAGGCATGTTTAGGATCACGTTTGGAGGCCAAAACGTGCATCCCAGCCGGAGAAGTAACAAGCAAGTTGAAAAATAATGTTTGGATTCACATTTTGTACATCTGACTTCTGTCATCGAAACAGACTTATGCAATAAGCTCAAAGAAGCTGTTTTTATTCAATCTGATTTTTGTAAAAGTTAGATTAAAAAAATTACTTCTGCCACCGTCATCCCAAGCATACTCTAAGATCATCAAAGATAGCTTCAGTAAGAATGATTTAAGAATATATTTTAAAAAAATCAATACATATTATCAATAAATAATCTACAAGATTAATTAGATGGTGACGGAACTTATCTTTTATTTATTCATGACAAATTTGCGCCGAAAATTTCCCTGAGTTGGATACACCTCACGTTTGAGAATATAAAAAGAGAACAAGTTGCGTGATTGGATAATTGCCATTAGTCTCTGATTAGATTCCCACTGGTCAGGTTGAAATTTGAAAATTATGGTTACTCAATCAGACGTCTTTTCTGGCAAAAAAAAAAAAAAAATTCAAAACGTCTTTTCTCTGCCACTCCTACTATGAACAGATTGTATGAATAGATTGGGCTTTATAAATAAAAAGGTAAATGTATAATTTATTCCTGATCTTATTTTGAAGAAAAAATTGGTAAAAAAATCCCCATTTGAATTGTGTAAGTGTAAGTATGATCCATGAGTGCAATATATCATCTCCTGTGTGTAATTACACGCAGCGGATGATATGTTGCACACAATAGATGATATGTTACACTCACAGATCATACTTGTACTTGTACAATTTCATGTCCTTTTGGCCAATTAAAATTTCAAATAGAAAATTTTTACTAATTTTTCTTATTTTTAATGTACACCCGGTACCCTATTTTTCAGTAGTGTAATATTACTAATGATTGCAGCCAAAAATCAAAAGCAAAATTGCATAAAAGAAGATCATAGGTAAAATTTAAAAAAAAAAAATCATGAGGGGTTGATTTGGGTGTGTGAGTTTGCAGGTACATGAATTGGGTTGGAATGTAAATTTGGGCTTATAATTTCTGTGAATACATATTATTTTTCTATGCTTAGTTGTAAAAAAGTAAGCGTATTTACATTTATAAACATAACTATGAATACTTGTGATTTTTTTTATTAGAACTTGTCAGATTATTAAATTTGGACTAGTAAATTTTCATTGAGAATTGCCTTTCATTTCAATAAGTAAACTGAAATTTCAGAATCTCAGTACCATATCTGGGATTTAAATAAATTCTCCCAAAGTATATATTACTACACAATTATCATTATTCTTTTTTCCATATGGGATAGAAAGGGAATAAAGACTATATGTACTACACACATTTTTTTAAAATATTTTAAATGACACGGTTTCATATTTCTATTTAATTCTGTATTATCTTTCTTCATTTTTAAGTTGTTGATCCGCCGCCACCGTTATCCTGTTAACATCAACGCCGCCGCGGCCGCCACCAACAAGATAAGTGTCTTTGGATGCACCTCCAAACCATGGTTTGGAAGCCCAAACCATGGTTTGGATAAAATGCTATCCAAACACCCTGTCCAGAAGCCCAAACCGTGGTCCAGCTGAAACCATGGTTTCAACCGGTGAAACCATGGTTCTACGAAAATCAGAAAAAAGTCACTTCTCTGGATAATTGGGAACCATTCGGGAAGGGGGGCAACGGTCATACCAATAATACCCACACACACAGTCATCCTTCTCTCGCTGGCCGACTCCGATTTCTCTGATAATTGTTTTCCATTCGCGAATCTCACCCAGCTCGACTCTTCGGCCGTCTCATCCATCGGGTCGCCTGTTCGCCGGCTCGCGTCTTCGCGTCTTCGCGTTCTCGTGAAGGGCAACGGTCATACCAATAATAAACAACGCCACGAGAAGGGACCAAGAGCCGATAAAAAACCAAAAAAAAAGAAAAGTAAAGCAGTTTACCGGGGTCAATGGAACGGATGCGATCAGAAAGAATTGCAGAACAGTGACCGCAGAGATCTTTGGAGAGAAAGGGAAGCCATGTTGCGAAGAACTCGGAGGCGATTCGGAGCTCGGAAGGCTGGTAATTGAGAAGGAATGGGTCATCGGATCTGGAACGCTGCCCGTCCATGGCCCAGTCGACTGAGATGCCGGAACCGGATTCTGCTCCTGGTTCGCCTGCGAAACAGTGGAAAGAAAGGACAACGCGCCCAGATCACTCCGCTTTCCAGTTCCAGTTCTATTCTTTTTCTCGTTAATTCTCATCAATGTCTAGCCACATATATACAGGGGGAGCCGGGGGATTTTTTTGTTAATCCTCCTTTTTTCAGTATTCCTACAAAACTACAACGATCTAAACAACCCTGCTGCTACTTTTATTTCATCAATAAAAAACAGTTTCAATTTATTAGACTATATTTAATTTTTTTATAAAATGTTGGCAAAAAATCATAAAATAATAATTTGAATCTTGCACCATAGGCCATATGACATGAGCTTTTCAAGCTTGTGTGTTAAGATATGCAAATCACCCATAGATTATATTCGTTAGTTTTTAGATATAAGATTTATTTTATGATGTAAATTGGATTATAAAATGAATATTATATTTAAAATCGAGAAGTAGATACTAAATTTGTTGTTGATATTACAGTCAGTCAAAATTGCCAGTGCAATTACAAAATTACATGTTCCGGTCAAAAAATTACAAAATTACATGTAATTTTGAGTATGGTTGGAGTTGTTTTGGAGTAGCGCAGATTAAACATTTAATATAGTTTCCTATTTTATTCAAATTGATTTGGAATAATTTGAGTTTCTTATTTGGTCTCCGATTCTTAAAATAAGACCTTATTTAATTTTAATTTTAGTTTTAAATATAAGATCCTAATTCATTTTGTTTATAATATTTATCTATTTTTTTTCAAAATAACCCTTCTACTAATAGTAATTCTAACCAATATACTTGATTAGTAATGATATTTTAGAAAATTCAACACATATTTATTACAAATAACTAATATGACTTATTTTCTTAATTTTCTTAAATTAATCAACTTGTTCTTATAATTAGAAAATTCAACACATATTTATTACAAATAACTTGAATAATTAATAAATTATTTTAAGACGTGTTTATTCTATTTTATCAAACAATATCATCCCATTTTATGTTTATAATCTTCATGAAAAATACATGACTTTCTGTTTGCAACAAAATAATTCATCTTCTCTAAGAATATTTTTCACTCTTATATTTTATGAATATATATGTGTGGTGACAATTAATTAATTAATTGTATTAAACATCAGAGGTTATTATACATGTAGTATGTTATTACAAAAAGTAGTTATGAAAAAATGTTATGGGATTTCACGTTTACAATCTTTAAACAAAATTAATATTTTTCTGTTCTAAAAAAAATCATTTTTCTATAAACATATTTAATATTATGTTTTATAAATATATGTACACATATTAATTATGTATTAATTATATTATCTTATATATTATTAATTATGTTAGTAAAAATTATTTCATTAACAATTTTATTTCTTCAAATCAAAATAAATCATAAAATATATCCCTTATATAATTATCATATTAACTTATATCCTTTTTGGTCATTTCCACATGTAAAAAGCACTTCTGGTAATAACTATCCAAACACTCTCACTTCTCAGAATCACTTTTTCTCAGAATCTATTTTCCACAGAATCTATTCTCCACAGAATCTATTCTCCAGAATCACTTTTCCAAACCACGGTTTGAAGTCATCCAAACACACCCTAAGTGAGATCAGCCTTTTAAGTTCTTGACCATTTCTTTTTTCTTTTTCTTTTTGACGAGAAGTTGTTGAGCAATTCCATTGGATTTCGATTAAGACTAATAATAATACTTTTATAAAAATATTACCACCTTCTACTTTTAATATAAAACTAATTTGATATTAAATTTGGTTTTAATTTATAAGACTCTAATTTATTTTTTTCATATTTATTTATTTTTTTAAGGTGGTCATCATAATAGATGCACATGAATGTTTAATACACGTGATTAACTAGAGTATTTTAGAAAAATAACATATATTTATTAGAAATAATTAACTTAACTAATTTTTTTAATTTATTCAAATTAGTTATTTTTATATTGAATACCGAAAGTAGTATATTTTAGGGGAAAATTGGGGATAAATCTTCTATTAAAAATTTAATTGGCAAATGGGATCTAAAGATTTTGTGCAACCTAATTTTTTTATGTGTAACTTATTTTTTCTTGTGTACAATATATCTTTCCTTGTATGAAATAATCTTTTTCTGTGCGATATACAACTCAATTTTTCTTTATGCAAATGAAATTCTCTTACGTGCAAGTTATCTCTCTATGTGTAAACTAATTCCTTATATCTAAAAATGTTTTGTACAAACTATCTTCCTTTTATGCAACTTATTATCCTTTGTGTACAACTAATCTTTCCTGTGCAAATCAATTATCTTAGGTCCCATTTGCCAATTAAATTTTTAATAAGGGATTTATTCCTAATTTTTTCATATTTTAGCAGCTTGAATTTGATTTAAACAATTTAAGAATTTAGGAGAACGGGCATAACGTGAAAATGTGTTTTTTTCACACATGTTCACAACAAGAATCAGAAAAAGGTGAAATAAAAAGTCGCAGCGACATCATGGAGGGATTGGAAGATGTTTTGAACCATTCCGAGCAGGCCTCACGACAGTTTGATAATCCTAAAAATCCCTTTAAATAAATAATTTCAAAAGTATAAGAAATAAATATATAAAAATATTTTTATCTTAAGTTATATAAAAGTATTTTTTAGAGTTAATATAAATTTTGATTCCTTGGTCCATCAAATTTTTTGTTTAAAATATTAGTCTTTATAATCTAATAAAAACTTGAAATATTTTGTCTTTTAGAACTAAAACCCATGATTCAAAATTTAAAAAATCAACACTAAAATTGGGATAAACTTAAATAACCAAAAATTATATTAATTTTTTTTTAAAATTATCGCAGAGTTTTCTAAATGCCCCCTTAATCCGTAAAGTGCAAAGCCACTTCTTCTAGCCTGTGATCGTGGGACCACCAAATAGCTTACGTGTCTAATCCAATAAGCAAAATGTTACACGTGTAACGTTAGCCAATCACGCAACTTTTTGCGCAGAGATACATCTTCACGAGGTTCATGCACTGGGCCCCACCTTTTTATCCATGCCGCCACCCCCGCCGGCCAGAAACCTCACCGTTTCGCTCTCCGACCGCATTTGTCACTCCTCGCTGACGTGGCTTCCCTCCCACTCTCATTTCCCGACACGTCGCCTGCCACGTGGCACTCACAACTCGTGGAATCTCTCGTTCTATTTTGAAGCGCCCGCCACTGGCATTGCAAGCCACAGTGCTTCAACAGAAAGCTTCTTTATGTATATATGTGTGTTTCATGATACATGCTTTCCGTCGTTATCCAACTCTGCTAGTTTTCCACGTTCTTCTCGCTCTGCGACTTCTTGAATTTCAGCGCAGCTTCATGGTTCAGTTCATGAAATCCAGCAACTACTCCTTTGAAAAGCTCGAGTTGGAGCTTCACGATTCTGGGAATGAAGAACTTTTTGGCTCCCTTCGGAAGCGACCCAAATTAAATTCTTCTCCCGAGGTCTGAATTCTGTTCATTTTTCTTTAATTTTCTATTATACTCTGAGTTTAAATCTAAAATCTGAGCTTTAATGCTATTTCTCTGAAACTCGTCATTTTCATAACTTCATGAGATTGTTGTTGTGTGTGAGGTTTTCAAGTTGTTTTATACTGGGGATGAACTGTGACTTGATCTCTGTTTCCTTTTTCTTCATCTTTTTTTCGACAGTGGAATTCGAACCATGACTTCGTTCCGGTTCCGCCGACTTCATGCGATTCGCTCAACGAGCCAAGCCCGCTGGGTTTGCGTCTCCGGAAGAGCCCGTCGCTTTTGGATTTGATTCAAATGAGACTCTCCAAAGAAGATAATTCCAGAATAGCGGATGTAAACAAGGAAGATCGCAAGGTTATTAAAGCGACGGCAGCGTTGGATGCTAAGCTCAAGGCGTCGAACTTTCCTGCATCCATTTTAAGAATTGGGACTTGGGAGGTAGGATGAAAACTTCCGGAAACAATAATGAACAAAAACATAATCAATATATATATATATATATATATATAGAATCTTATCTTTTCAGTTAAAATATATGGGTCGCAGTGCAAGTCAAGACATGAAGGAGATTTGGTGGCAAAGTGCTATTATGCGAAGCACAAGCTCGTATGGGAAGTTCTTGATGGTGGTCTTAAGAGTAAGATTGAAATTCCTTGGTCTGATATCATGGCTCTTAATGCTAATTACCCTGAGAATGGGCCCGGAACACTGGAAGTAGTGGTAAAGTTTCATTGCTCTGCCTCTCTTGCTGATATATTTCATTTCACCACTATTATTTAATTTCCCATGCTAAGTTGGTTTCCTGATTGTCGTAGCTGGCTAGAAGACCCCTATTTTTTAAGGAGATCAATCCACAACCTAGGAAGCATACCTTGTGGCAGACAACATCAGACTTTACTGGTGGACAAGCTAGCATACATAGGTACTAACCGCACTCATGTATTGGCATCCAGCTGGTTCACTGGTCACTCCTAAATTTTCTATTAAGTATATTGAAATAGATTCATGATATCTGTCTTGTCAATTTTTACTTTTGACTCCATTACCTTGTGTGATTAAGAAGTGTGCTGCATCGGAATGAAATGACATATTCTCCATAATAAACCTATAAAGGAAAAACATACATTGAAATGAATAGTAATATTCTGAAAGCAAATACAGATAAACTGTCATGGATGGACCCGGAGAAGAATGGTTTTGGTCTTTGTTTTTTTCCCTCTCTCTTTATGGTCGTCTTTGTTAGACTATAAATTTGACATCACTGTCCTGGCTACGGATTGAAAGATTATATTATAATATAATAATGTGTGCCCTTAGTTGATTAACATTGGCTCTAATTAACTGTGTCAGTGTGACTTTCAACTGAAATTTCTCTCTGGAGTTATGGGTTTTATAGAGAGGATTCAAGAACTTACATGTAAACATAACCTTTTTCATAGCATAACGAACATACCTTTTTCCAGAGGCAACTGATTTAATTTCAACCCGAGTATCATTGCTACCGCATTTTTTTTTTTAATTCACACTCATACACTATCATTACTATTGTAGGAAACATTTTCTACA